CACCTCCTCCTCTTCTGGTCGAGGGGCGCACACGTCCTTGTACAAGACGAAAGCACGTCGTCCAGCCAGCTGCTTCGGACTACCATATCCCAGCAGGTTCGTTAAACCGAGAAATACCCGTTTCGCTGCAGGCGAAGATTCCACTTTCCGTGTAAGCCAGGACTTCATGGTTGGCCTGAGTCGAGGTCGAGGAGGACGTGAGTGAGGCCGTAGAAGAGAGTTTAGATGCTGAGTTTGATGCTGAGGCGATTGTGGAGGATGAACTCGCTTGAGCGGGCGCTGCTGGTTGTGGTAAGGTCTTTGTCTTTGTCTTTTGTGCTACCTGTGTGGAGAGAGACTGAAGGGGGCTCCCAGACGGCTGTGGTAGCCGATGAGGGGGGAGACGACGTAGCAAGAGTGACCGAGGAATCATGGCGAGGACAAGAAACAGTGCCAGTGGTCAGCAAATGTGCGGAGAGACTTCTTTCGCGGTCATGTGTCCGGACCGGTCAGCTGTCAACATTCAAGTCGTTCAACCTCCCCTCCCACCACCACCCCATCTCACCCTGCCTCTCTCATCCACAACGCGTCAGCCCCACTCCACCGACCACTCGAGCACGATTCGAGAAACGACAAAGTGAGTCTTTCATTTGTTCGCGGTGTGCTACTGTACATGTGCTAAGTTGGCTCTACACAGACCTTTCTCCCCTAATCGCAGCATCCCTCCACGATCGCATCCCCACTCCGCGCCGTCATCATGCGTCCCTCTCCTCTCCTCTCTTCCTCCCTCGCTCGTGTCCCCTCCTACCTTGCGTGCCCCATCCCTACCTCTCAGTCCGTCCGCCATCGTCGTCCGCTCCTGCCATCTCCCCTCCATCCTCAAGATCGCCGTGACGATGGGGCCATCTGTCCCCATCAACAACCTCGACGCCCCGGCGTGAGTCCTACCAAGGTATGCTCTCATTTGCCCTCGCGTTATTGACCGACTTACCTTTTTGCAGATGTGATCCCGCCATGTCGGGCCTGGAGGGTGTATACCCACCCGTCCGAGTCGCCGTCGCCATCCCTCCTGAGTCGCCATCTCTCCCGAGTCGCCGTCCGTCCCTAGTCGCCGTCGCCGTCCATCTCGCCTACCAACATTCTACATCCGTGGAACCGAATGAGGGCAGTGGGCGGTGTTGGCAGCAGCGGCAGCGGTTCATCCTCTTCGACTGCTCATTCGCGTCATGGTCGAATACTTCGGGAAGGGGCTGCGTCAAAAGGAGGGTGTTGAGGGTGTTCGAGTCAGGGGCGTAGAGCCGTCCCCTGGCAATGAACGCGTAAGTACCGTGTTCCATGAGCTCGTTTGAGCTGTGCTTACCTCTGTCATCCCATCCCATCCTAGCGCTAACAGCTCCCTCCACAAACCGACCCAATCCCAACCCCGTACAGCCCCTACATGTACCTCGTCGCACCTGTGCATCGTCAAGGCTGTCAGAGACGTGTAGGGCCAAGTACACAAATGGCCGCCCATCTTCTGCTCGCAAGCGAGCATGTTAGCACCACGCCTCGAAGACGAACCAAGGACCACCTACCAACCTGTGTGTTCCTCGGCGGTGCTGGCTGCTGGCTGTGGGCACTCGCTGGTGGCGTGTTACACGTTCGAGAGAGGGAGAGTCATGGCGAGCGAGCGGCGGGGTTCCCTCACACACGGTGTCTACCCAGGGCATCCGTCATCGTACGGGGTCTCTGTCGGGCAAGGGCGGAGTCAGCAAGAGGGCGAATAGCAGTGTTTAAGGGAAGGCACGTACCATGACCTCTCGATGGGCGTGCGTCGGGGGGCAGGAGATGTCTATTAAGGGGGTAAGTGCAGTGTTCGTGGACTTCGTTGACATTGCTTACCTTTCTTATTAGCTTTCATGGATGTCGTGAACAGTGCCTTTGATGTGCGGACGAGGCGGGGGTATTCGTGTAACGGGGCGGCTGTATGAAGCTCTGTAAGTAATAGTGTTCGAGAGCACTGATTTGAGCTTACCTGTCCATAGCCATCACGACGAGAGGCAGCTGGGATGACAGAACGGCGGCGGCACGAACGGCGTCGAAGGACATGATAGGTGGGCGGCGCCGTCGACACGAGAGGGGGCGGACGTACGGACAAGGCGAGAGTGTGTCAGCGCTGAAATGAGGTCAGTTGCCGCCATAAGTGTCCGGTATCCGTCCATTTGGAATGCTTACCTTGATTTCAGACCCTCGACCTCGACGTCCATCCGAATGAGGAGACAAACGGCGAAGTCTTCAAGACCGGCAGGTGGGGGTGTCAGCCTACACACGACACTATGAACGGGGTACTTACCTTCGTGACTTCGTCGTGTTGGATGTGCTGCCGGCTCGTGGTCGTCCATCGTGTGCGACAGTGTTTCGTGCTACGTGTTCGTGGCACAAACTCCTAGAGGCGGACGTCAATGGCCAATCTCACTCCAAAGCCCACGAAACGACTTACCTACTTTCCCTGTAAACATGGCGGCGTCGAGTCTGGCGACGAGGTAATCAGTAAGTTATCCCTTCGAGCTCGAGGGCGGGCTACTCACCGACGTCGTCGACAGTCCTGAGAGCCTATAGGCGACGCGTCAACTCACGAACGAAGGGCGGGAATGCGAACTCACCATGAACAACGAGGAGGGTGAGGAGGGGGCACTGCGAAGAGAGGCGGTCAGCGAGAGAAAGGCGGGTAGAGGGAGGGAGGAGAGGGAGCTTACCAGAGGAGGAGGGAGAAGAAGATGGGGATCAAGCCAGGTCACCAAGGGGTTTATATACCCGTCGAGAGACCCATGTACGTACGCGTCATTGGATCAACAAGGTCCCTGATGTCCCGATTAAGCGACCGTGCATCTCGAGATCGCCGGACGCGTTCTCCCCCTCCTCTGTACCATTTCCTTTAGTTACAACAATTCAATTCGATTACAATACTACTCAACATAGTGTACAAGTGAGCCCCAGATGCACGAGCTGCAAGAGCACACGAAAACGGAGTGTTTTCGAGAGGACGGCTCGAAACACCCCAACACCCTATTCCCATTCCCAAAACACCCTCACCAAACGCAGCCCAGTCCAGGCTCCCAAGCGCAATCTATCACCACGTAACAAAGAAGCATCGCGACCCGAGTCGCCCGAGTCGAAAGAAATGAGGGCGGAAATGAACGGCATACCCAGAAACGGCCTTGGACACACAATTCCACCTCCCAAAGCTCACGAAAAGCCCCCTTCCAAGCCACCGCGCAGCCGCATCAGTACCTGGTCGTCTGACAGATCCTTGATGCGACGTCGCTTGGCACCTAACGACGCTGTTTTTGCAGCGAATTCGGATGGAAGACTGGGATGTGAGAATGGTGCCGTTGCACTTTCTCCTGATCTGCACTCTGGGCACGGAGCCAGGTCCTTGTTCTCCGGTGGTGGCATGTTGAGATAGAGGGGTAGGAGTACTCTCGAGGGTGCGTGTGGGGGTGTTCTACGGGTGGTATGTGCACGGTGAACGAGTGTTTTCGCTGTGTGGATGAATATGGAAATGGCTGGATTTGTGTGGCGCACACTGTGTTCCACTGCTCAAACGTTGGTGCACCGGCCACAAACACCCTGCCAAGCCTTCTCACACGAAGGTACGATCTTTTAATTTGTTGCAAAGGTGATTCTAGGCTACCGGGTGGTGTTCTTGGACTCGGGGATGTGAAGGAGGGTGGGAGCAAGTCATTGTGTTTCCTTGTTTCATTGGGCCGGCTCTGTTCCTTCCGTGAAGAGAACGTAACTACCTTATCAATGACACTAAGGTAGCGTTGTTCTTCCGAGAGATTGGGATAGGAACGATCTCAGGTGAACCAGTTGTGTTTCCACTTAACCCAATCTCTCGGGGAGTGGGTACCATGCATCTCACCATATTTCGGTGATGAAATGGCATCCCGTAGTTTAATTTATTCATTCCTTTTGTAAATCATGTTGATTCCTTGCTCCTTGTCTTCCTATACCTGTTNGTCGCTTTCCTGAGCTTCCTTTAATCTGAATAGGACAAATCTCCCATTTCGGGTACAAACAACCACCCGAATACTTAGATTAGCGTCGTACAATGCATACTATATCCATTCAAGCGCTTTACGGCGTCGTTTCATTTCGAAATTCTGGGTCGTTCTGGGAATGGGAACCTGATCTACCTAGTGATATGTCGAAATAAGCTCCCTCTCACGCATTTCGTCGAGTAAATGGATATTTTGATTAGAAAACAACTATATGAACGAACTATGACAGTACAGAGTCGTTCCAGGCCATCTAATCGAGTCCTCGACAGGGAATGACTCCGCTGAATACCCAGACACTGTGTGGTACGCAGTCGCCATGAAATTCTCTCCTCGGGCCGTAAATGAGCGGTGTAAGTGTCATGAATACTTCGAGAGCACATGGGCGCTTACCACAGGCTCGTAGCGTGATCTTCTCGAGCGCAGCACGGCTCGCACGATCTCCTTCTCTTGTGTTCATCCTGTCAACTGTGCTCGCTCAGTCTTTGTTTTGAACGAGTTACGGTGGGCCAGAGTCATCTGAAAGCAAGAAATGGGTGGGTCAAGCACGGTGAAAGCAGGGCAGTGAAGGGGAGTAAATGCACGAAAAAGAGACCTCATGGAATATGCTCTGGAGTATTCTTAATGGAGACGATGTGAGCGGACTGGAAATGGGCACTACGATGACCTATTGACATACCTCTCGACGAAGTCTTGCAGGAACCGCTTGCGTGTTGGAGCCGGCGCTGGGCATTTCGCATGGTGTGGTCATTCCAGTCTTGTGCTGCTCTCCCCAGGTCATACTCGCCATATTTCGGAGTCTTGAATCATCTCAGAGCGGTCAGGGCGATGGAGAAGAGGGAGACGGCAGGTGAGAGGCATCCTGGAAAGGAAAAGTGAGTAGAAACGATGTGCTGGCACCCGGATGGACTTCCTACCTCCACGGAAACCCAAACACGAACTCCCTCGTCCTCACAAGACAATTCCGAGTAAATATCAATCTAGGACAGAGATATTAGCCCAATACTTGCGAGGAAACAAAATTACGGACAGAGGACATGCTGGGAGTGGGTGACAAGGAGAATTTGGTGGAGGGAACGTGGTATTCGTGGCGTGAGCTGAGTCATGATGGATCGGGCGCCAATTGATCAGCGGTCCCGCAGCTCCTTGCGAAGCACATCCCTGCAACGCGAACAAATCATTCTGTTGAAAAAAACCTTGGAAACGGCACTCGCAGCACAGAAATCTTGACGTTGCACATTCTTATTGGAGAATGAGCCGACTCCTTCCGGTGAGTTATGTCTTGGCTGCTGTTTGTGTTGATCCTTGCCAAGAGGTAATTGTGGTATAAAGGCTGGCCAAATTTACCCGTCACTCCCATCACTCCCTTTCCCTCTTGCCGTCGTAATGCCAGTCCACATTCTGGTATGTCCATCCCTCACCCTACTTGCTCTGGAACTAACCCTCCTCCTCTCTGCAGACCTCGCTATGCTTTCCATTCTCACACTCACCTCGACCTCGAACCTCCTCAACATTCTACTCGATTTCTCAAGGCCCTGCACTGTTCTAGGTCACTCACCTCGACCTCGAACCTCTCCTCAACATCAAATCCCTTCTTTCAACATCTGGAGATCGCTCTCAAGGTCTATTCACGAAGCCTCTACCATCTAGTCATTAAGCGCCCGTCTCTGAGCTCAAAGTTGGAATACAGACATCTGGGAAATGCCTCAGGTATGTCCACTTTTGTCAATATATCTCTTCTGAATGTTCATCAAATATCCAGCCGCCTTTCTTCAAAGATTCGGCCCCGCGGCGAGCAGCACCCCTGCTCCCTGACAAGAACAAGCCTGGGTTCTCGGGTATGTCTGCATCTCTGGCCTCCATCAACCTGCTCACATTGTGCTCTAGCTTATATCTCATTCAATTGTCAAGAAACAATGCTTTCAGCTCACTCGCCTCGACCTCAAACCTCTCATCAACTTTTTATTTGATTTATGGACCTCTGGGGATTGCCCTCAAGGTCCAAGAGCTCTGTACCACCCGTTTGCCAACCTCACTGCTCAAACTTCATATTTGGACGTCCGGGAAACACTGTGAGTATGCTTCTTCTTTCTTTGATCTTCTATTGAGTTCTCATGATGTTTTAGGTACCCAATTTCGAGGGTTTGGCCCCATGCAGCGAGCAAAATCTACAGTCTCAATCAGGGATGTTTGTGGTTGGGCAATGATGTTGGTTGGCTGGTCGTTTATTATTTGGTATGTCTGCTTCTCTGATGTCCATCATCCGCTGATTTCTCACTTAATCATCAAGGCGTGAAGCGTTTGGGTGACTCGCCTCGACCTCGAACCTTTCCTCAACATTTTATTTGATATCTCAACTTCTGGTGATCACTCTGAGGCTCCAGTTACCATGTGTTGCCTACGGACAGACCCTCCAAGCTGAAAATTCGAATTTGGATGTCCGGGGAACACTGTAAATGTGTGTACTTTTTCCTTGATTCTCTGTCGAACTCTGATCAAAGTTTCAGGGCCCAGCTTTGAGGATTTGGCCCCCACGGCGAGCAGAACACATGCCCCCTCTATCAAGAACATACTATGTGGCTTGGAAGTTCAGGTGAGTATTCTGTGCATATCCATTATGTTTCCTTGCTCATTTGCCTGATTTGAACTTCCGGCAAACATGGTCATTGCGCCGCCTTGTCTCCCATTCTCCGCGCGTCCTACCTACACCTCGCCATTGTGCCTCCTCTGTTCCAACTCTTCCTGGAACACTTCTGGCACCTGCGACCCTGCCTGCCTATGAAAATTCATATTTGGGCTTCCGGCAAACCTGTTTCCGCACCACCCGTGTTTGCCTTCCCACCAACCAACACCCTCCAGTTCAACCATCCATCTCCCTAACCTCTTCAGAGACTTGTTCGAGGTTCTGGTAAGTTCTCATTTCAGCGGTTTCTTCTGACCTTGGATTTCATTGTCCAACGGCACTTGTGCCCGCGGTATCTGTTTGGTGAGTAAGTTTGGCCCTTTACCGTGGCCCGCATGCGGTCTGACTTGGACAGGACCTGCCAAGGTGCCGCACCAGGACCCTAAATAAGCGCCCGTGAACGTAGACAGTGTTGATAGTGAATCAAAACCCCCTTATGGGGGACCCTTTTTTTTCAACCATTGAGTGACCTTTGGGACGGGGAGACTATGGCCAAATTTTCAGTTTTCAAAATTCTGCATTTCAGCCCTTACGAGTTTTGGTTGCCATTCACCGTGCCTGATTTCTTTCAAAAACACTCGGCATGCTGTTTCTCGCTCTTTCATTGGACGGAGGCTCGTCTTGGGTAGCAAGCGCTGTCTCACTTGAAAAACCGCTCGTATTGTTCGTCGTACTCTACACAAATATATAGGCCCGACCCTTCGTCCGTCCTCTCCTCCTTCAAAAGATTCACGACCTCTCCTCCAACCAAGTTCACCGCTCGCCTGAAGTATCCATTCGTCTCCGCTGCAGAGTTCGTAGCTAGAAGCTATTTCAGCCCCATATACCCCCACTAAGTGAAAGACTCACCGGAAGAAGACGGCAACGCAATCCCACTCGCACCTCTAGCACCCAACAGATTCCGCCAAATCGCAGCTGCGAGCTCTTGGTCCGACTGGACGAGCCCGAGGGAAAGCGAAATACCCATCCCCATCCACTGCTCCTTGAAGATCTTCATCTGCCGAATCACGATCCTATCCGGTGCCCTTCCTCTTGGTTTCGCCTTCTTGCGCTTGTCGCCCTCCTCTCCTTCTCCTTCTGGTAACGGAGCGTAAGGGTTGGTGTAGAACGTTGACTTGAAAGTGTATGGCGTTGGGAGCTCGAAGGAGGTTGGAGGTTGGAGGACAGCCCGGATCCGGTCCTCGACGTCGATGAAAAAGTGGTCGAGCAGGGCTTGCTCATAGTGTCGCGCGTGCTCTACGGGGAGCGCACGGAGGCGAGCAGTGAGGAGCCATACGTGGAAGTTGGTGATGGTGAACCAGGACTGGAAGGTTGGAGGGAGGTGACATGCTGGAATGGTTGCATAGTTAGCGGACAGTCTTTTGCCCAACGAGAGCAAAAAATGAAGATATATACTCACAGTTCCTCCAGAACGCCTCCTCCTCTTCTGGTCGAGGGGCGCACACGTCCTTGTACAAGACGAAAGCACGTCGTCCAGCCAGCTGCTTTGGACTACCATATCCCAGCAGGTTCGTTAAACCGAGAAATACCCGTTTCGCTGCAGGCGAAGATTCCACTTTCCGCGTAAGCCAGGACTTTGGGGGCTCTTCATGGTTGACCTGAGTCGAGGTCGAGGACGTAAGTGAGGCCGTAGAAGAGAGTTTAGATGCTGAGTTTGATGCTGAGGCGATTGTGAATGACGAGGAGGATGAACTCGCTTGAGCGGGCGCTGCTGGTTGTGGTAAGGTCTTTGTCTTTGTCTTTTGCACTACCTGTGTGGAGAGAGACCGAAGGGGGCTCCCAGACGGCTGTGGCAGCCGATGAGGGGGGAGACGACGTAGCAAGAGTGACCGAGGAATCATGGCGAGGGACAAGAAATGCCAGTGGTCAGCAAATGTGCAGGTAACCGTAACTTAAACGCGAAGCACTGGGACTTTTTCGAGGTCATGTGCCCGGACCGTTTAGCCGTCCACGCGAGAACATAATGAGAGGAGAGGCCGAAATTTGACTAAAAATGAATGAAAGACAAGATGCAGACTGAAATTTTGAAAGGTAATCACAGAATCTCCCGCTTTCAACCTACATTGGAAGATACCGCTCTGGCACCCTGCAACTGACGCGCCAATTCCTCTACACGCTGCTCAGCCTCGTTTGCACGCTGCTCGGCCTCATTTGCACGCCGCTCGGCCTTGTCTGCACGCTGCTCAACCTCGCCTACACGCCGCTCGGCCTCGTCTGCACGCGTGGCCTCTCTGTCTGCTCTGTTATTTTGCTCCTCCTTTTCAACCAGCTTTCAGCAGGATCAGTAAATATTCAAAGTCACGGTCAGAAAGAAAAACAACTCACATATCTGTCATGTGCACTCCTAGCTTCCGTAACGACAGGTACAAGGCTCAATACATCGTGAGTATCTTGATGCGACTGGAAAATCACCCGCTTGCCCAAATATTGCCCAGCATCCAGGTACCCCCCACCACTTTCGATCGTCGGCATGTACAGATTCCTGACCAGGCCCATGAGTGTGTCTGCATACCAGTAGCAGTTCTTCAAGAGCAGCTGGTACTTGATATCCCGACGGTGCACAATGTCTGCGATGAGGGCCAGATCGCGGAGGGGGAAGGGCGGGTTGAAGGAGTGGTATGAAGCGACAAGTTTCGGAGATTTGTGTTTTTCCTCTGCTCGGACGCCGCTGGGCCGTGAAACGTGGGCCACTGTGTCGGATGCTGCCCTCTGTCCACCAGAAACGGTTTTGGATGCGTCGATGGAGAGCTGGAGTCCTGTCAGCGAGGACATCTTCCCGGTGTGTGCCAACATCTTCAGGTCTGCTTCCTCTAATTTCATATCCTTCCTGAACTTCTTCCTCTCTGCTTTCGTGAAGGCCTGATGGGAGAGACAAGGCATAGTTAGTATGCTGCCCGACTCAAAGCTGAGATGGAAACATACCGATATGTCCTCCTCAGAAACTGCATTCTCCCGAATATCCCGAACGCTCGAGGGCCGCCGCTCGATACGGAGATACGACACTGGCCGCTCAGGGCGGAGGAGAGTAACATTGAGATACTCATGCTTGAACGCATGTTCGCTCTTGTACCAGTCGATCCGGGTAACCTGGGACTCTAGCATTGTCTTGCGGTCATAATAATGGATTGTGACGGCACGCTTCCATGGATAGATGTCGTGCAGGGTCTCATCGGCGAGTGCGGAGGGCAGCTCTGGGTCTTCGTCGGGGTTGGGCGGCATGAGGCGTCTGAGGATATCGTAGAGGAAGTGTGGTATGAGGCTCATGGATGCCCTATAAACTAGTGGGTATCCAGGTAAGGGGTGGGGTGAGTGGAAAGATCAAGGTCAGAACGTCGCTGAGTAGCCTCGAGTCTTGGTCATGCTATAGATCAAGGTAAGACGATGTTTGCTGGTGACTGCAGTGAAAACGGAGACGTTTCGCCTGCCAGCAGGGTGTAGTGTTGCACGTTAGGACACTTTTCTCCTCACGCATGCCTCGAGGAGTAGCGCAGACCAATACGTAATAAGAATCCTGGCCCCCAGCAGTTCGATTTCGTGGGATCAGTTTCAGGGAGCCTACATAAGTGCTCGTTTTCATCCCTTTCTACGACCATGTTTCGTGCTCGCGTGTATCTCTGCCAGCACGAAGGTGGGCCGCATCTGTAATATAATACATGTAGATCTCTTCAATATTGGGCGTCCGTCTTTTCGTCGAGAGTCACATATAGTATCCTCAAAGTATCCTATTGATTATTTATTTACGTGGGTGCAGTATAACTGGGATGGATTAAGAAAAATACTATCGTCACGAGGGGAAAACAACCAGAAGAAAAGAACCTAGCGCCTAAAGCCCGAGTCGATGATACGCTCGACACGAGATGATAGTCGTCCAATTCAACTATAAGCCCCGAAAAGCGGACACGGAAAGGTCAGCAGGTGAACAGAAGTCGAACACGGCCTCTCGGCGTCTCGCTAGTATACAGAGGCGGCAACCTTCATGTCATCCCACGCAGAGGTCAGGCGAGGGCGTGGAGTATTATTTTTGGTCAGCCTGAGCATGAGGTTGGTTCCTAGACGCCAGTGAACCTCGGCCCGTCCACCACGCATCACCAGAGAACAGAACATTGTAACGAGAAAAGAAAAATGGATCTGGGCGCTTCACTCTTCGTAGTGGGACGATGTGGAAGACGCAGGGCTAACCGTGACGCCGAAGGAAACGAATGGAAGGTGAGGGAGAGGAGGGAGGGTGACCAGGTGGCGATATAAGATGGAGGGGATCGAGGATGGAGAGGTACATGGTCCGTTTGTTAGAGGGTCTTAACCCACACAGCGTAATAGAGACACGGTCGGCCACCGTTGATATTTTCGTCGGCTTGAGAACGAGTTGCGAGAAAAACAGACAGGAAGAGACAGAACGATTCTTTCGTCTCAACCCTAGCGCCCAAGGTGTCAAAGGACCTCGAAGGCTGGAAGATTGGATAAACCAGATGGACCAACACGCACGCCCCTGTGAATAAATCAGCCTCAGCGAAAGGCCACAATGAAGCGAGGGGTAATACCAACGTACACATATGGGCAAAGAATTTCTTCGGAGATGCGTCGAAACTCAGTGGTCAGGTCGTCGCCACTAAGAACAGCATGAAAATAGCGCAGGGATCGGAATAGAGGGCCAGAGGAACAAGAACGGTAATTGTATGTGCTCGCAGGTCCGAGACGAATGAGGGACTACTCTATCCCGCGTTCATAATCATCTTTCTTGAACGACACGCCTGCGACAGGGGAGACGGAAGCAATAAACACTTCGACCCCTTATGTGATGCCCTATAGGGCGGAATGGATAGATTTGACGGCTCGATTAGCAAACAGCCTGTGCAGGTGCAGGTCGAGTTTTGAAGAATGAATCCGGCCCAAAAATGGCGTTGTGAGGGGAGATCGTGAAGTGCAAGGCAAGCAGGAGTGGGTAGGCATCCACCACGTGGAAGAGGGTGAAGACGCGCACAAGAACAAGAGGCAAGAGTCGACAATGACCGATGGCGAAACTTCGCGGACGGGCGCAGGGACCAGAGGACGAGGAGGCCTAAGACCAACGAAAACTGTCAGACACATCAGGAGAATCTCGATTCAAGAACTCACAATGTTCGCCATTGTGTAGATCATCTACGTCGATGAACTTCTGGAAGCACTCCCCCAACGTCTCTCCATTGTTGACGATTTTCCTATCCACAACGCCCTCCAACAAGAAACCAAAGCAACTGAAATGATGGTTTGCGCTACGGGCTTCGCGCTACGGGCTTCGGGTGCATACATTGATCCAGTTGCTGAGGAAGGACATGAAATATGCAGTTTCAGCGAAGATGAACGGGCCAATGGGCAAAGACTGCTAAGAATGAGGCCTCCGGGTGTCTGTGAAGGGTACTTGAATTCCATCAGACGCTCGAGTGACGGATATGAAGAGGCGTAAGGGGAGGCTATAGGAAACCTGGATTAGAGATGTGAGTACGAGGACAACGCGATGAGGGAGCGAGGATGGCGTGAAAGAGAAGGATACGGGACAAGTCGGAGAAGTAATCTTCGATTTGAGCTTGCGGCAGGCGGGGACTCATGCACGGAAGTCAGGGTGCGACGAACGTGAACGTTTGAACCTCGATGAATCGATGAGTGTTCAATTAATGAAGCCCAGCCACACATTCGGGCCGCTTCGCCGTTGGTGGTCGGCGCCAAGCTCATCACTCAAACTTTTTGAAGGAAAAAAGAAGTAAAACATTACTTCATCATAGAGAATTCAGGATCTAGAAAGCATGTGGATAAATGTAAGCTGGCCCACTAGAATGTGTGCAGAACTCTTCGGCACGAGACCAAGAGCATGCTTCCGGCGCCTATTAATAACTTCGGCGCCAACTACGAGTTCGAAACGAAAGATGATGCAGGAGTTCAAACGTTCAAGCTCAAGCCTCAAAGCTTCAAGGCTAACTTTGATTTAACTCGTAAACGAAATTAACCCATTTTCGAAGATGGAAGAAAAAATCTCGTCCTGGATAGGGTGACCTCTGCATATTTTCATCGTAGACTACATAATAAGTACGGCAGATGTTGTGTCGTAGGCGTGGACTGGATAAAATAATAACAATATAACTACCCTGGTTCATTCAACTGAGGCCTGAGGCCTGGGGACCAGTAGCCTTCTCAACACTGTCAAGGCGCGCCACCTTCACCCACGTTTCTACGTCCCATATCCGAACTGTACAATCCCGGGACCCCGATGCAACGCGCTTTCCGTCAGGCGAGGATGCAACAGACCAGACAGACTCTGTATGGCCTCGCAATGGCTCTCCCACCTGCTTCCCCGTCTCTGCATCCCAAATCCGAACCGTCTTGTCTCTCGAGCCAGAGACGATGTACTGTCCGTCAGGAGAAAACGCCACGGACCAGACCCTACCTGTGTGTCCACGGATCGGCCCCACCACCTTTTCTCCTGTCATCGCATCCCAGATCCAAATCGTCTTGTCTTCCGCGCCTGAGACGATTCGGCTGCCATCAGGCGAGATTGCGACAGAGGTGATGAAGTCCGTGTGTCCTTGGAGGGGCTTTCCCACTTCATTCCCCGTCTCCGCATCCCATATCCGAACAGTCTTGTCGAAGGACCCGGAGACGACACGCTTGCCATCAGGAAAAAATGCTACGGACCAGACTTGAGCTGTGTGTCCTCGGAAGGCCTTACCCACAGGCTTCACCGTCTCTGCTTCCCAAATCCTGACTTTCCCATCAGATGAACCCGAGACGATACGGCTCCCATCAGGTGAGAATGCTACGGAATTGACACCGCCTGTATGTTCCTTGAACGACCCCACCACCACCAAGCTCCCGGTCTCTGCGTCCCAAATACGAATCGTCTGGTCGTCCGAGCCAGAGGCGATGCGCTTGCCATCGGGCGAGAATGCGACGGTCTTGACAGGATCTCGTTGTCCTTCAAACGGCTCTCGCAGGATCGTCCCTGTCACCGCATCCCAGAGGCAAATCCTCCCGTCCCACGAGCCCGAGGCGATGTTCGTGCCGTCAGGTGAGTATGCGACGGAGAAGACTAATTCGTTATCTTTTTCCAACACATGAAGACAAGCTGCGAATCAAAGCCCAGGGTCATATTGCTGCAGGTGACGAGAAAAAGGTTTTGACGTACGAGTTGTCAGCCGGGCTGTAAACGTTTGCACTATCTCTCGATGGTTCTCCTTTTCGCTCTCTGACAGACGAGAAATCACGGGGAGAATTCTATCGGATGGGACGGGAAAGAGAAGTGAATGATCGGGCGATAACTTGCGGAGTACAAAATCCAAAGTTTCAATCTTCGTTTTGTTGGAAATATTTGGAACGGCCATGGTGTCCACCAGCGCCGAGTACAATGCTCGTTTTCCTTCGGCTGGTAAGTACGACGCTGTCAGCAGGTACAGGCTTAAAAAAGGAGTTTACTTGCCGGATGGAGCAATAGCCATCACTCGTTCCCAGACCTCATCGAGCTCGGCGAAATTGTCGACAATGTCCTTCACGATTTCGTGTAAATCCACCTCCAACCACTTCCCTTTGGTCTCCTCCCCCTTCCGTAATTTCTCCCAGAATCCATTACGCTCAGGCGGACGCGCTTTCGGGGTGTAAACTTCGGACTGTTTATCAGTCAGTAAGAGGGAACTATGGATCTTCTGCCCAGGATGTATTTTGCGGCCAGCGCCAAGATGCGGCCTACGCGATAAGCAAGTTTAGAACATTATGGCGAGGCAGGTAGAAGGAGACTCGGACGGAGACCCACATCCAAGTAATTGTTCTACTTCCTTCGCTCCTGTTAAACGTGAGTCTCTTGAATGGAAGGAACTCGAAGGGCCACCAGGGCCACGTCAGAGATTCAATAAAGGTAATCTGCTCGCTTGATGACAGATCGCGCCGGAAAGGAGCCATGCGAAGCCCCACAGAACCCGCCTCAAAAACCATCCACCTCAGTGGAGGACGGCCACGATTCATAACGGCGTTGTCGACATTTCCACCTCCACTATCAGACGGATTGCCATCAGACCTGTGCGGTGTATAATAAATCGCTGAACCTGAACTTACATATCAGAGTGCGTGCCTGCAAACCAGACTTCCTTTGTGTGAGGTCGCTTGCTCCCCCGCTTGGCACGCGTTTGGCTGCACTCTTTGTCTTCGATACGAGGAACTACGTCTCTGGGTCTATCTTCAGCTCTTAAAGGATCGTCAGGATCTTCGTCGCCTAGCGTCGTTCCTCCATAAGCGAACTCGGGCAAAAATTTGACGCGCCGTTCGTCAAGTGCAAGTGCATGGCGGAAATAGCAGACATGCCCCATCCCGTCGACGGTACCTGGGAGCATGGGACTTCCACGGACGATTCCAATCGACGAAACAGTGTCCCTACAAGCCCCTGATCAGCATGAAATAATATTCGACAGCGGGCGGATCTCTCTTACCAAGCACCCACAAAATGAACCTTGACGTCCCCGCGCGAGAACGTGCTCTTGAAGCGTTCAGCTTTGGATGTGTTTGATCCCTCGTCATCAGACTTGGAATATCCAACCTTGTTTGCTGTCTTCTTATCGCCTGCACTGTCCGCGTAGAGTTCATATGCACTACGAATAATGGATTGGCATTGAGACAGATGAAGGGATTGCTCTGGCTGACAATGGGATCTGCATCTTGTTTCCTCGGTGGATGAGGCCGACCTAGCGTTTCCCCGGGTCAGCGGGGATACCTCGATGAAGCATATCATACCTTTTCAATCATAGCAGAGAGTACGCGGACTTGGAATGCGCCTCGAGAGAACCCTGTGTCGCGGAAAATCGAACCAATGCGTATAGGAAAACGTCACAAATACGTACCGAAGAGAAAGATACAATCGCCTGATCGATACTGGTCTGATAGCCACTCATACGACCCTAAGACAGTCTTTTCAAAATCACTGATGGAGACAACATGAATCCACGGAATAATGTCAAGCTGGATGGTAGGCATACCAGGCGACCGCCAGATCGATCTTGTGCCGAAGGACCTTCTTGCAATACTTGGGCGATTTCCACGATGGCTGAGCATACGTCCCGATGCCGCTATTGTACCAAGTGTGTTGTTGATCTTCTTCCGCTTTTAAAATGAGGTTATACAACTCAATGACGTTTGTATTCTGGAAATCAAGGCATAAGTAGATCCCCCACATAGGAAGAAGATAGGCGAATGGTCCACCTTGTCTCCAAACTGATTTGAGGTACCGTCAATGCAGACGATGAGGTTTCTACCACCCATGGTGTGCCCACAGGGCATCTTGCTGCAAGTTGGTTTCGATGGTGGATTGGCGCCATGAAGAGGAGTGCAAGCATAGCCACTGTCTGCGACCGACCCTACACGGTCTTTCGGATTTTTTTTAAAAAAACTCAAAATGGTAGCATCCTTACCATTTTGTCCCAACATGGCCTCTGTCCTCTCCGCCATCCAGTGCGACAGTTGCGGGCCAAAGAATATGGACGAAGTTGCTCAAGATATGGCCATGGGGTGCCAATGAGACAGTACTTAAAACCGAACCCCTTGCGCAATTGTCTCTGGCTATATATGCGATGGGGGATTTTGACGTGAGCAATGGAAGGATCTTCTGCCAGCGGCGACAAGACGTAAAGATAAGAGCAATAACTCACTTTAAATTTAACGTCTGAGGGCAGGAAGGTGTATGCGAAGACAGATGTGACTGGTCCAGGAGCTCGTTGTATCAAGTTCCTGTCGGTTGAGTGGGCAAGAACACAATGAGGAGGTGCGGCGTCAACTGAATCGTCTCGGCCTACCTCCTAAACATCGGATGAGAGAAATCATGGCGAGAGAGAATTTGTTCGGACTCACTCGAAGTATAAAATCGCCGCACGGACAGACAGATGATCAGAGTACAGAACTCATGCTACCATCGCTCCCAAGCATGGCTTCTCGAGATACAAAAGTAGGCAAATTGAACCACAAATCGACACCCAAGAGCATATTCACGGGTCTAGACGTGGCGAGGATTGAGGATGGTCTGTTTGTTGGACGTCGCCGCAAGGGGCGTAGGCTCTGACATTGGCTTCCAACCTTTATGCTTCTCTTGATGCCCTGGGTGTTGTCCGCTCCCAAAAATCGAGACTGACGAGACGAGGGATCGG